GGGGGTTGGACTAGATGACCCACAGAGGTCCCTTCCAACCCCTACCATTCTGTGATTCTGTGATTCTGTGACTTTGAAAATGGATTTGACTTTAAAAATGTCAGTTTGAATTTTGTGAAAAGGGTTTTTTTCTACCTATGCTCCATTGTATAACTCTACTGACTTTTTTTAAGCACAAGTTTGCTGCTAGTGTTTGAATCTCCTTTCTTGGCAGAGAACAGTCAAAGCCATTGCTGTACAGAAGATATTGTACTTGTGCTTATTTGTGGCAGGCGATGGCTGAAGGTCAGCATGCTGCTCACTGGGCAAGCACATGACACAAAGTTGTGGCACATTCTCACATTAGACCAGATGCACAGTACACGTTGTAGTCTATAAGCAGTCTTTCAATTTTTTTTATGGTGCTGTGCTGTAGAAGTGGGAAGGTGAAATTTGTGTTGCCTCACTGCTAGGCTCCAAAATGATACTTCAGCAGTAGTGGTGTTGCTGTGTGGGACAGACTGGCACCTCTCGTTGAAGACAAGGAGTCAGGAAATTACATCCCTTCAGTAAGGGATCTTATTCAGTGAATAAAATGTAAATCTAGTATAACTCATTCTGTCACCTAGCAAACAATTGAATTGTAGTAGGTTGCCTTGAAAAACGATTTTTGTTATTTCAGTCACCAGCCCTTCTCTGTCCTCTGGTCACTATCAGTTTGTTGAAAATATATGCATCTGCTTAGGTTTTTAGGATTTACTGCTAAGCTATTTCAAAAGACAGAAAAGTGAGCTGTATTTAAAGAAATGATTGTAAGAACTAACAGCTATCTCATTAAGGGTTGTTTGAAAGCTTTCCTAAGTTTGTGACAAGTAACAAAGATGGACGTTTACCCTTAAGCCATAAACTCTTCAGTACACCAGTGAATAATCTACCGGTATCTGCTGTATATGCAAATGAAACTATGCCAATTAAGAAATGCTCTGTGTATTCTTTGTATAATTTTGGTGTGTTCAGTCATCCTCATCTTGTTTCTTAAGCTGCAGGCACCTGAACTTTGGTTAGTATCCATTTCCTATGCTGCCAAGATCACGCAGTACCCATTTTTTGCAATCTAATATATTTTTGTTTTTTTAATTCAGTGAGGTCCCCATTCTTGTGCATTTTATTCCTTCCCAGACATATGAAGATTGAAGACAAGGAATGTGAATTCAACAAGAATTTCCATCTCATCCTTCAGACTAAACTGGCTAACACTCACTACAAGCCAGAACTGTAGGCTCAGACCACCCTCATTAATTTCACCGTCACCAGGGAAGGGTCAGAAGACCAGCTGTTGGCTGAGGTTGTTAGTGCTGAAAGGCCAGACTTAGAAAAACGTAAGGTAAAGACTATCTTTTGATTTATCTGTTGCCCCTTCTGAGATTTTAAGGCTAGTGTTAGTATGTCTGTTTGAATCTGCTATACAGTAACTGCTAGTAAACCATATATTAGAAAGATTTTAATAGTCAGATTCTGCAAAGTGTAGAAAGTACTTCTACGGATTTGCTCAAATCTGTGCTCCCAGAGGGCTGGGCTTGACATGAAGCTCTGCTAGAAATGAAATTTATTGTGATCTTATTCCCACACTTCTCTCTACTGCTTGGTTTGCTCTGTGCACTGCATTTAATTTACAGTGCAGGGTTAAAGCCCTCTGCAGTGCTTTGTGCTTCAGTGATCTCGAGCCAATAAGTGTAAATAAAATTTCATGCCAGTCCATAAGAGAATATGATGGCACTGTTAGGACCTGGGGCATTTAGTTAATAAATCATAATTTACTCCTGCAAAGATGTAGTTCTGTGGCTGTTGCCGTCATACCAATGTATAGTGACTTAGGAAGAGAAACACTTTTATAGCTGGTTGTAGAAACAACTTTGAGCAAACTGTGATCTATGTGCTAAAAAAAGAAAAAATACTTAGGGGTGTGAAGTGAATAATAAGAATACTTCCTATTTCTCTGGTGTGTCTTTCCAGTTACCTCATGCAATTTACTAAATTCATCCACAAAAATTTGCTACACCTCTTTGAGGTACTGCTGCTTCATGCAAGGGCAAACTGGGTCAGAGAGTTTAAATAGCCCGTGAAGAATGAAAGCCGTGTACTTGGGAACATGATCTGAAAACAGCTGGCCATTTTCTTCTGCATCTGCACATTGCTCCACATGGGGCTGCATGCTTCCAGCGCCTGTACCGTCTAGGGGTTTCTGGTGCGAGGGTCAGATAGGGATGGAGAGCTCCCCGTAAGACTAGTCAAGCTCTTTCGCTGTCAGAAGGTCAGTCCAGCAGAACAGACTACAACCATGCTTTCCCACACTGCTTACTGGCATAGTGGGACTCTCCAGCCTTGTACTACTGTTGGTTTTCTCAGCTGCCATGTGGATTACCATTTGCCATCTCTGGCAAGATCCTAGTCCTTTTGTGTGGTCTGAGGAGGAAGGAGGCTAGCGGAGAGATAAAGTTCTGGTCCATGGTGATCTTGACCTTCTTGCTTTGAGTGTCCCAGAACCTTAGTTCTAGTGTACTGGGACAGAAAATAAACTTTCTCTTTCAGAAAGTAAATTAAATCAACTAATGTCATTAAATAGAAAATATAGCTCATAAATGCTATAAAATGGTATTTCTTGCTGTGGTTGCTTAAATACAGTGTTTTTGTTCCCTCTGCTAGTCAGCCCTGGCCAAGCAGCAGAACTGTTTCAAGATCAAGCTCAGGCAGCTGGAGAATGACATGCTGCTCAGCCTGTCAGCTGCCCAGGGCAGTTTCTTAGACAGTGAACTTGTAGAGAAACTCGAATCAACAAAGTCAATGGCAGCAGAAATACAGCACAAGGTAATAACAACTGAACTATTTTTAACAGCTTAAAGACACCTGAAAAATGCGTATTATTAATTATTTTTAGTGAAACATTTCTATGAGCTAGGAATAGTCAAATTCCTGTCTGTCCAGCAAGGGCTGTCCACCTATATAATCACATTTTCATGTCTACAGTATGTATTTGTCACATATTAATTCTTTTCCTTTTGATTTAGGTGCTTGAGTAAGTACTCATAAAAGAAATAAGTATCAGCATGAAATATGAACAAATGTATTCATATATGATTTCTATGTTTTCACAGGTGAACAGATATATTGCTGCAGAGATCAGACATTCCATAAAGTTTGTCTAAGATAAGAAGCTTGCTTACCTCAAATATTTGCTACTGTCTGAAATTAAGTCAGATTTCTAGAGTGTATCCATATTCTTATTTGTACGGATAGGAAAGTTTTCGTCATTGTGTGCGATCATCATGGCACGTTAAAAAATAAAGACAACAACTGTCATCCTATAGATAGCTGAAGCCAAAGAAAATGAAGCTGAGATTCACAGAAGAAGAGAGCATTACAGACCGACAGCCGTAAGAGCGTCCATTCTTTACTTCGTTAGTAACAGTCTGAGCAGCATCAACCCCATCTGCCAGTTTTCACTGAAGGTAAAAATTTATCTTGCTGATTTGGTTTCCTGAGTGCAAGGAACAGAATTCTGCCTCCAGTGGTGGTGCCCAGTATATTAGTTATTACTTGTACCAGATGTTCACACTTGCAGGGCTGTGTGTCTGAGAGAGGAGAACACAATGCGATCTCCTGCCGGTCTGTGGCACCGTGCATTCCCACAGGTCTCTTTGTCAGCTGTCTCCATTCTGGTGGTGTTTTCTGACTGTGCTTGTACAATTTGCCTACCTTTTGTTAAGCCATCCCACAGAGTCAGGTAGGAAGAGTTTTGTGGGATTCTGTATAAACAACTCACTGTGGCAAATCTAATAAATGATCTGATGTTATGAGGAAGGAGGATCACCCACTGCAAAATTACCAGCTTGCTTAAGTGAGAGGTTCTGCCTGCTGAGCTAAATAAGGAAGCAGCAGAGTATTGCTGTTTGCCGTCCTCACCCCTGGTTTGCTGAAAGTTTCCTCAAAAGCCTCTTGGCAGAAGTGCCTTGCATTTCAGACTGCTTAGGCCAGCTCTTCCTAGAAGCCTATAGTCAGAAATGGATTATCTTACAAGTAGAAAAGCAAAAAAGCAGAATTCAAATAAATAAAAATAGTTGTACTTATTGTCATGCTTTCAATGCAGTCTTCCACAAAGCAATTAAGCAGGCTGAAAAATTGGGGGATATTCAGTGTCATATCTCTAACCTGATAGAAGCTGTCACATAGTCAACTTTTCTTTTCACAAGCCAAGGACTTTTTGAAAAGGATAAGCTCATTTTCTTGGCCCAAACAGCTTTTCTGGTGAGGAAAAATTTTCAGATCGGTGATGTTGATATTTACTGGATTTGCTGTTTCTTCACTAGAATGTGATGCCTCTGCCCAGACAAGTTGTCCTGTAGCCTTGTGGCTTTGCAGTTTCTGACACAGTGTGGCTGCTGCTTCAATATCAGTAATTGCAGAAGTTCCAAAGATGCTTTTATGTAATTCTTTTCATTTAAAATACTGCAATGACTTTATGAAGCTATGCTGAGGATGAACAGCATGACTTAACTGCTTGTGGTTGCTTAATTAGGGTTGAAATCAATGTGATATGTAAAGTAAGAATTCAGTAAATAATACATATCCGTATCACATTCAGGCTGTTATTTTTCCTTTTAACTTTAGTATCTGTATGCCCTGGAAAAAATCCGGGCTCGGTTGTACTGGGTGACAGGTTTTGCCCTGAAGAGCTTGCTCCAAAAGAGGTCATATCACAGAGCTGGTCAATAACAGAGGTAGGAATTAAACTAGAAACTAACAATTTGGGAAGAAGGTAAAATATAAATTGAGGAATCTGATTTGAGGGGGGACAGGAAAAAAGAAATCACTCTACACAGTGTACAAATGGAATTAAAAAGCAGACAGAAATGTCTGTAAGAGAAAGGATAAAAAGAGGGGGGAAATCAAGCTGGTGATGCTTTCTCTGCATCATGGTGCGGAGTGATTTATTCATACCACCTAAGTTTCTAGCACTGTGTTGCTGAACTTCTGTCTTTTTTGTAGCAGTGGTACTGGGATGAATCATGAAGAATGGAAATCTGTACGGCAGCTGAAAAGTGAGTCCAATCAGTTACAGAGTAGACAGAAACCAGAGTAAAGGGCACAATAAACTTCTGATTTATTAAAAAAATTCTTAGATGGAAAGAGAGAGGGCTTTTAATAGAGGAAGAAAGATGTGTTTATATCAGAAAGGAGAGAGAACATATGGTATCATGGCAAAGGTGTCTCTTTTTCCCACTATGTGTGGATAAAGTGATAGAAGAACTAGAAAAACCCCTCATAGAACCTGAGGAGTTTTCTTCAGTTTGCATACAGCTCATGTGCCAGAACTGATTCAGTGTAAAACAAACCCCAAAAAACAACAACAAAAACCACTCAGGATTTGTAAATTCCCCAAAGCCTTGTGACAGCTTGCAGTCTGGAGGGTTTAGGTTGGTGATGCAAACAGCTGTGCACTTTGCTCTCCTGTCTTCTGAGACGCAAAAAGGATACGTAGAGATAATTAGATTGAATTCAGAAATCTGTACTTTTATGGTAGTGTTAGTATAAAATAATTTGTGACCAAGTTTATCTAAGGTTATCTTCAGTGTGCAAGACTTATATTTTTATGTTTGTTTATGTTCCCACAAGCTAAAGAAAAATAACTGCGGTGGTTATTAGCTCATCTTAAAATTTTAGTGAATTTGTCTTTCAGTACATAAATGAACAACAGTTATATTTTCTGCAAAAAAGTTTTGACTGGTAGGTTGTGTTTGGTTTTCATGGTGTCTTTTTTAACAAGTAAAGGGAAGTTCAGCTCTCTGTATGTATGGTTTTAAAAAAATTTTGACACACAGTTTAGTGACTAATATCTAAGAATCACTCCATTTGCAATAAATTTCAAATGAAGATTTTAAAATATCAGTAAAAGAAGATGTAAGTTCTTATATCAGCATTTTAGAAAATGCAGCCATAAGATTTTTTGTTGCTTTGAGCTCCCTACTCAGTAATACTTTGAGGGGTGAATACTTTAAGGCAGAAGTGGCTCTGAAGCAAGACCGATGATCTTTTTCAACTTTGTATGCTGTCAAGATTCTTCTAAGAAGTAAAGAGATAGAACTCCTTGAATTGGATTTCCTTCTTCGATTCAGAGTTGAACACACAAGAGTGCTGTTCACTTCTTAACTACTCAGTCATGGAGTGCCGTTAGGGTAGGTTGGGAAAATTGCTTTTCAGTTCTAAACCTTTTCTGTTATATGTGGAGGCATGCTACAACTAGACAATTTCAGATAAAGTCATACATTCCACCATGATTTTTAGCAGAACAGGGGCTGCTTTCAAACAGGAGTTGTCTTTGCTTTTTGAGCATATTTTTCCATAGGCATCGCGTACTGTGCTTTGTGAGGAAATTCTGTTTTACCATAACTTCTCCAGAAACACAATTTTGATCTTCGTACCACTGCTTGCTGTAGTAAATGTCTCATGCAAGGTTTCAAGTTTGTCATATCTTGATATTTAACAGTATGGCGATACTGACCAAAGTAAACTCTTATAAATAATACTATGAATGTGTATATATATATATATAAAATTTAGTATTTTAAGATAAATCCTGACTCCTTTGTAATTGGTTAGGCTATGGTTTTTTACGTACCCCAAAAGTATCAGTACTTGTCTTCCCATTTCAGTCTTCATACAGAAGGTACATCATATGTATTTATGTCTTTGGCATGTTTCCAGGCTGTGGCAGTGATGGATGCGTTCGGGGGTTAGATAAAGATATGGAAGGATCCACCAAGAGGTGGAAGAAGTGGGTGGACTCAGAGTGTCCAGAAAAGGAAAAGCTCCCCCAGGAATGGACAAATAAAAGCTCTCTTCAGAAACTGATCATACTGAGGGGACTCCGTCCAGACAGAATGATGTATGCTCTTAGGTATGAAATCTGAGGATACGTCTTTCAGGGCACGTGTGTGTGAGGGTGGCTTGTATGTGTCAGTGTGGAGAAAACTCAGATCTTAAGGGGCAGGCAAATAACTCCTAAACTAGGCAATCAAGCAGAATTTGAAATCAATGACTGTGGCCCTTCCCAGCCTGTTCTTCTGGTGAAGAGTATATGAAGAGGTAGTGTGGTGAGACATGAGTCACGGCATATTTGGAGAGCTATGTTTGTGATTTCTTTCAGATTGCATATAGGTACCCTGAGGATAGCACTCATTGATAAATGGAAATACAATAAGCTATGCTGTTAATAGCTAAAAGTGCATTTCTCAGTGTTAGTTCTCATTATGGTATTAGGGCTGGTAGCTAACCCCACAGGATAAAAATTTTTCTGGTGTCCATTCTTTAAAATTCTGTGATACCGAGAAAGATTCAGTTGTGAATACTTACCGATCTTCTCCCAGCTGTCTTCCGGTTGTACTATTTTAATCTTTTGATCCCAGCTGATGGTCTCATAGACCTGATCCTCCACACCCCACCGTCACAGCTTCTACCCATTCATATGCCTGCTGAGAATTCTGGTTTTGTGTCCTGGGTGTTTATTCTGCCCCACTGCCCTGGCGTTTTGTGACAGTATTGCCTGCATGTAATGACTTCTTGGATTCAGTTATTGAAGAGGTCCTTTTCATTCAAAAGTTGCTGTTTTCTGTCACATGGTCCCTATCTCACAGAGAAATGGGAATGATCATCTTCTGTCTTGCTTCACCACCTGCCTCCCCTTCTTGCCTTCAGTTCACTTCCCTGATGATTTCTTTGATGAAGTGACTGTTAGACCTTCACTGTCAGCCACTCAAGTCTGAGAACGGTGCAGGCTTGAAGCCTGTATCAGGGAAAGTTTTTGGTGTTTAGTGCATATTTTTTCATATGTATAGGAATTTTGTGGAGGAAAAGCTTGGCTCAAGATATGTGGTAAACACAAGGATGGACTTAGCAAAATCTTATGAAGAGAGCAGTCCGGCCATTCCTGTGTTTTTCATTCTGTCTCCAGGAGTAGACCCACTTGAAGATATTGAGACACTAGGTAAGCCTCTTATTTGCTTCTGGTGCAAGGATCACTCAACTGTGTTCCCACTGAAGAAAGAAAAATTGAGGTCGACAGTGAAATGGAGCATGCAGGGCTATAAATGTAGATAAATCGACAGACAGTTATACACATCTGTATGTGCCCGTGCACATGTACGTGTATGGGTGTCTTTTTACTACACAGAACAAAGCCTTCTGAAATCGTCTGTCGCTACAAGGGAATTTACATTACTATGCGAAAGTTGAGCAAGGTTTATTTTCAGCAGAAGATTCAAGCTCTACAGTTTCTTCCACCCCCACCATATTCATGGTAAATGGGGTGGATGAAAAATGTAAGGCCATAAGCACTATAGTATGAAGAAATTTTTAGACCGAGCATTCCTCTGCTTGGCATAATGCAGGTTTCCTTTGTACTGTTTTCTACCTTTTGACTAGATGAGGGCCAGAGGGCAATTTTCTCCATGCTCATGTAATCTTGTGCCCCCTGTGACTAAATAATGGTCATTATACAAACTATATTCAATTGTATATGGCTCTGTGCCTTTATACTTAGGATTACTATTCCCCACAGACAATAGTGAGAATACCAGGTTAATACAGCTGTGACCTCACTGTGCTCAATTTAAACTCAGGCCTCACAAGGTGAGAGGCTTGTGCATTTACCCACTGAACCAATCAGTTAAAAAACTGATGTGATATCTACCACATGTTGCTCCCTTTTTCATAAGGGAATTGCTCTGTACCCCCTGTAAGAGTTTCTAAAGCTCAGTAACAATGCTGAGCATCTATCAAAATGTCAAAAGGTTCATTATCTTAAAACCAAGGGAACAGATTTCTGCCGGCTTTTTCTAATACCAGCAATAAGGCCACTGTTGAGAGCTCGCAATTTTGCTTGTTGAAATTGTAAGGGTTTAGTGAAGTGCTTCAGAAGAAGTAATATGCATTGCACAAGTGATAGTGAAATTAATGGGGGCATTATCATTCTTTTTCATTTCTGCTCTGCTAATTTGCCTATTACCTCCCCCTCTGTCACTCACCCTTCACCAATTATTTCTTTTACAGGCAAAAAGCTTGGGTACACTATAGAGTCTGGAAGATTTCATAACGTCTCTCTAGGACAAGGGCAGGAGATGGTTGCAGAGGTGGCACTCGAGAAGGCTACCAGATATGGCCATTGGGTTCTTCTCCAAGTGAGTGTCAAACAGCCCCTCTTCTGGGGACTGGCTCTTCAGTTGGAGGGATATTCCCAGAACACAAACGAAAGAGGCAGTGGATTACAGCAAAAGTTTTAAACAGCTAACAGCCTTGTTCCTTTTTTGCTTTTGATTGTAACAGGATAAACGTCATTATTAATAGAGTGTATGTCATGTTTTTGTGAACACTGTCCTCACCATCCCAGGAGGAACAGGAGAGATAAAACAGAAAGCCTCTGGTGGGTGGGTAGGACTGCCCTCAGGCATACGCTTCCCCACATAATTAAGAGCTCCTGTTCCGTTCAATGGGGCATAATGGAGACTTTAATGCAATAGGTCTGACTCCCCCTTGGGAAGCTGTATAATTGGGCCTGGACAGCAGCCGCTGCTTTGGCCAGCATTGCGTGGACCGAGAACCCACTCTGCAGCAGAAAAAAAGATCTGTGCAATCCCCTGGCGAGCTGCTGTTCCCAGTGCAGTAACGGAGTGAACAGGGGCTCCGCAATTGTCAATGCTACTGAAAGAAGGTGCTCACCTCCCACCATCATATGCTAAATAGCAAACAGATATTTGTAACAACCCCATTGCCCTGAAGCCAAACAAGGTGTGCATGTTCCAAGCCTCAATGTTAAGGAGGTCACGGGGATGGGGTGCTTCCCCCCTCTTCGGGTTTCAACCTCAGCAATGTTTGGCTGTCAACCAGGTTGCCTGCAACAGGTGAAGAGATGGGCTAGACTCAGCGTTGTCTGCCAGCTGAAATAAAATCACTATGGGATTAGCGAGGGGCCTTGGTGTGCTAGGCACCATGTAAACGCACCCATACTGACCCCTTCGTCAACACTGAAACTGGAAGAATTAGTTAACCAGATTTCACATGAGTAAGCTAGTCATGCTAGTCTGAAAATAACCCTGCTTTTCTGTTAGTGAGTATAGAAATGTTGTTGTGAAGGAAAGAGCAGTGTTGGTGTTCAGGGGATTTTCAGAATTCTCTGCTGCTCTGGGAACAGGACGAGATAATGGGAGATGACAGAGGCCCTAAATCAGCAGTATTGTATGTCTGAAGCCACAGGGATAAACAGGGAACATCTGAGAGGCTTCTGGTGTTGTAGACCTGCTCCATTTTCCAGCCCGTTATGCCTGGCTTCTGAGGGAGGAGGGAGGTGATAATTTTGTTGTGAAAATTTTCGACAGTGAAGTCCGAAAGGAGACTACATAAAGATGTTGGACCAATTCCCAAATGGTGCTAAGCTGACTAGAGCTAGTGGGGTTTGGATGTACTCAGTACTTCCCAAGCTTCAGTCTTCTGGGTTTTGGCCCAAACACCATATATGTTCATGTTTAAAAAAAATCTGTTTAAAAAAATGAAGTATTATACTATGCATTTTCTTGGAGGCTAGGGGGTGTATAATTAGATATTTTAAAAAAACCTGCTATTCTGACTGACTTGGGAAATACTTTTAAAATTGCTTTGGCACCAGATCTAGCAAAACCAGTTGGCACAGTGCTTGGTAAACTGGCAGAAGAAAGACTGACTTGAAATTTTTTGGTAATGGGTTTAACTCTTCCATCACTTTTAATTAATTTCTCAAACTCAGCTGTTTGATATATTGAATGGTTATTTTGATATTATACTAAGTCTTGAATCACTTCCGCTTGGCAGTGGATGGACGTATCCTATATGAAAATGCAGGTGCTACCAGGCTGCTATCATGTAACGTGATATGAAAGTCCCCCTCTCTTTCCACCCCCCTATTCCTTTTTCCACATGTCAAGGGACAATTTGGGGATATCCCCTCAGCAGGTCTCGTGATAAGAGCGATGCAGCACCCAGAGCATGACTGGCATGTCATATTCCTTGGCTGGTGTACAGAATTTCATATCCTCTTGCGCTGTGTGGAGGTGGAAGCCAATGCAATCGGCAGGTTCTGGCGCAACGGTGAAGAACCAGAGAGAAGCTGTAGGGCTCAGCTGCAATTTGAGTTGAAATGCTAGTTCTGTAACAAAAATGTGGAGTGTGGGCTAATGGAGGAGTGAAAGCTGCTTTAGCTCAGCCACGTAAATCTTTCTCTTGCTATTCACAGAATCACAGAATCACAGAATAGTAGGGGTTGGAAGGGACCTCTGTGGGTCATCTAGTCCAACCCTCCTGCCGAAGCAGGGTCACCTACAGTAGGCTGCACAGGACCTTGTCCAGGCAGGTCTTGAAT